TTGATCCTTTATACCACCAAGATACCTGTTTCATTCCTCCCTGTTGTCTTATTAGCTGTTCTTCCTGTGAGGTGTACTCAGGTTCTATTGGGGAGTCATTAAAAAGGAGTAGTGCTAAAACTTGTTGAGATTGTACCTTGAGGGCTGCGGCCTTGGATTCCTTTTTGTTCCCTTGTGCTATAGGGGTTAGATTCTTTTGGTGCCCTTTGCAATGAATAATGGCTATGGCCTCTGGCAAGTGTTGTCTGCAATAGCTGAAGAATCCCATGTTTTATGGGGGAGTGCCTGTTAGTAAACAGTCCCCTTTCCAAATTGTAGCATGAGCATGAACCACAAGAAATGCATACTTAGAATCTGTATAGACATTAGCTTTCTTTCCTTGTCCCAACCTTTTTTTTTTTTTTTTTTTGAGACAGAGTTTTGCTCTGTCGCCCAGGCTGGAGTGCAGTGGTGCGATCTCAGCTCACTGAAACCTCTGCCTCCCAGGTTCAAGTAATTCTCCTGTCTCAGCCTGTCAAGTAGCTGGGACTACAGGCACACACCACCACACGCAGCTAATTTTTGTATTTCTAGTAGAGATGGGGTTTCACCATATTGGTCAGGCTGGTCTTGAACTCCTGACCTCAGGTGATCCACTCGCCTCAGCCTCCCAAAGTGGTGGGATTACAGGCTTGAGCCACTGCACCAGCCCCTTGTCCCAACCTTAATGCTAGAGTAAAAAAATGATCTCAGCCTTTATGTCGATGTGCCTGGGGGCAGTAGCTGGACTTCAAAACTGGTATAATTCACTATTGCGTATCCAGCTTGGTCCTCCCCATTTAGCACAAAGCTGCTGCCGTCTGTAAACCAGTATCCTCAGGGTCTGGAAGAGGCTGATATAAAAGAGGCTGGCTCACATGTCTGTGATCTGCTCACAGGAATGATTGGTTATGGTGCCCAGAGGTAGCAGTGCGGCTGGTGATATGGTTTGGCTGGGTTCCCCACCCGTATCTCATCTTGAATTGTAGCTCCCATAATTTCCATGTGTCGTGGGAGGGACCCTGTTCCTGGAACCAAGCTGGGTCTGGCTGTGTTTTCTCAAGGCCCAATAAGGAGAAGCAGACAAACTAGGAAAGAATGGAATTTATTGATGTAACTGGATACAGGAAGAAGGCCAGAGATAATTCCACCAGACCAACCCAAAGTGTTACAATTTTCTTAGTGCATATATAGGTTGGGGTTAGGTGCCTACGTGCAGTACAGCATTCGTCTAAGTCTATTTGTAACTAATTTTGTTTCAACTAGAAGGTCAGAGGCAGAAAACGCTTGCTAAGTTTGATTAAAAGGGCCCCAGTACCTTCAAGGCCTGTCTACTATGGTACCAGAGTGATTATTTCTGTCTTATCTCCTTTGCAGCTTGGTCCAGAGAGCTGCCTTGGACTCTCCAATGAATCTATTCAAACAGCTGCCACTGTCACCTTGACCTGTCTCAGATTCCGTTGACCCCAGATGGGTCCCAGCACTAGAAGACTGTCTCTATTATTTTGAGTTGCTCCAGGTTAGGGAGAAGCCTACTGACCATATGCCATACGTTTCATTTCTAGCTTTGATGTCTGGGCAACAATTTCCCTAGGCTTAACTATTGGCTAAATGTTAAGGCAGTGCTATGGAAATCCGTCAGTGTAACTGGAGTGCTATATAGGCCTGTTTGTGTGATTGTCAGGGAGAATTGGCCTGCCACAACCCGGTGGGAGGTAATTGAATCATGGGTGCTGTTCTATGATAGTGAATAAGTCTTACTAGATCTGATGGTTTTGTAGAGTTCCCCAGCACATGCTGTCTTGCCTGCTGCCATGTAAGACATGACTTTGCTTCTCCTTTGCCTTCCACCAGCCATGATTGTGAGGCCTCCCCAGTCATGTGGAACTGTGAGTCAATTAAACCTCTTTCCTTTATAAATTACCCAGTCTCAGGTATGTCTTTACTAGCAACGTGAGAACAAACTAATAGAACTGGGTTTAAGGTGTTACAGGTCTTAATTGTGATCTCTGGATTATCTAGGAGTGCCACCTCATATTTAATCTTTCTCCTGTCATCCAGATATGTCCTTTTATTTCTAGGACTGGTGGGGAGTTGTAGCTGGTCTAGAGTAATTTTCGTTTATTTATTTATTTATTTATTTATTTATTTATTTTTGAGGCAGAGTTTCGGTCTTGTTGACCAGGCTGGAGTGCAATGATGCGATCTTGGCTCACTGTAACCTCCGCCTCCCGGGTTCAAGCAATTCTCCTGCCTCATCCTCGGGAGTAACTGGGATTACAGGCATGTGCCACCACCCCCAGTTAATTTTGTATTTTTAGTAGAGACAGGGTTTCTCCATGTTGGTCAGTCTGGTCTCCAACTCCCAACCTCAGGTGATCCGCCCACCTCGGCCTCCCAAAGTGCTGGGATTACAGGCGTGAGCCACCATGCCTGGTCAGCCTAGAGTAATTTTAATAGCTTCTTCAACCAAAATAGCAGTGGCTGCTATTGCCTAGAGGCAGCTGGGCTACCTGGTGGCTACCCTGTCTTATTTCTTTGCTAAGTAAGCAACGACTGGGCGCAGTGGCTTACACCTGTGATTCCAACACTTTGGGAGGCCAAGGTGGGTGGATTGCTTGAGATCAGGAATTCAAGACCATGCTGGCCAACGTGATGAAACCTTGTCCCTACTAAAATACAAAAATTAGTTGGGGCGTAGTAGTGACAGGCACCTGTAATCCCAGCTACTTGGGAGGCTGAGGCAGGAGAATGACTTGAATCCAGGAGCTGGAGGTGGCAGTGAGCCGAGATTGTGCCAGTGTACTCCAGCCTGGGAGACAGAACAAGAGTCCATCTCAAAAGAAAAGAAAAGAAAAGAAAAGTATGCAATGGGCCTAGGCTCTGTTCTCAGCTTCTGAGTAAGCACTCCCACTGCTATACCTTTCTTTTCTTCCACATACAAGAAGGGCTTGGTGAGGTTTGGAATGCTGAGAAGGGCTTGGTGAGCCTGGCTGAGAGCCCGTTTTAACTTGGTGAAAGCCTCCCTCATTTCTAGGGTTCATTCCATTGGCTCATCTTAAGGTCCCCTTGTTGCCTCGTAAAGGAGCTTTGCTATGTGCCTGAAATTTGGGATTTATATTCTACAGAATACAGCCATTCCAAGTGAAGCTGCTGCTTGGCGTGTGAGGTAATTTGGGTGGCCATGACGTCCAGAGTTACCCGGGGATCCTAAGTAGTAGTGATGTCCCTGGGTCCTGTGAGTCTTCATCTGATCCCTCCTTATGCGCTGCTAGAGTTTTGACTGATGGAGCCCCTCAGTCAGAGCGGGGGCAGTCAATTATCCAGCGCCAGGGGTCGTGACTGGTGCCCTCACCTTGGCAACACAGGCCCTGCGGGGGCTTAGTGGAGTCCTTTTCCTAGTGCCCACTTTTCTTGTACTTGTAACCAGAGCTTTTGCCGGCATTATCCTTGTGACCCTTTGGGTTTCCTTTGGATGCCTTTTGTGTATTTAGGGCATCACCAATGACAGTTGCCATAATTTCGGCTGGTTTTCTTTGCTGTATTCCCTTTCCACTTCCTCCAGATCACGATTGTTATATACCATGGAGGTGGTATCAATAAGCTGATTTTGATTAGTTTATCAAACTTGTGGTCCCATGTGTAGCTTCTGGATTTTATGCCTAATGTCCGGGGCAGCTTGACTAATGAAATCCTGTGTCATTAATACTTTGCCTTCAGGAGAGGGAGGGTCCAGGTTGGTGTATTTTTTAAAAGCCTCTTCCAATCTACTATAAAATATAGCTTTCCTCCTTACCCTGTGTAATTTCCCTTAATTTACTGCCTTTGCCATTTCCTTTCTCATTCCTCCCAGGTGAGCTTCAAGGAATTTGGCTCAGTTGTTCATTCCCACAGGGGTGTTATAGTTCCAATTACGGTCAGTGATGGGGACTGTATCTGGGCCCAGGCAATTGCCATCGGAATTTCCGGCAAATAGCTTGTCTGCTTCCCGTTGGGTGGCCTCAGAAATATGTTCTTTCTCCAGAGGAGTGCAACAAGTTGCCAGGACATATTGAACATCTTTCTGTGAGAGATCGAAGGCTAAGGTTAAAGTTTGGAATCTGTCTGCAAATCTCCTGAGGTTCTCAGAATAAATTCCTAACTTATCCTTTCATTGCTGTATATCAGTTATGGAGAAGGGGGCCTCCACTTAGATTAGCCCCTCAGCTCCTGCTACTTCCCTTACGGGAAATACAGCTGGACGGGAATTGAATAAGGTGTTGCCCTGGAAGTGTGTGGGGAACTTAGTGGAGTTCCCGGCTCCTGTTCCTGGGTTTGATCCCCAGGAGCACTTGGCAAAGGGTTGTATGGAGTTGGTTGCAGTTATCTCTGAGAAATGGTGGCCCTTGCAGAAAGGGGTCATCTATAACATCTGATTCTACTTTAGGAATTTTTTCTTTTTGAGGGCAAAATTTGGAAGCCTTACAAATTGAAGGGTTTTGGTGCAGGGCCATACAGGCTTAAACATGGTATTTCTGACTATTTACCCTGCCTTTTGCAAGATAAGTCTAATTGCAGGATAGTGTCATGACCAAGACTCCCATTGACTAGCCATTGCTCCTGGCTATCTAGAGGATACTGGGACCAAACAGTATTACAGTAAAAAAACAAATGTTTCCTTCTTATATTGTCAGGGTCAAATTGGTTCCAATTATTGAGGATGCAGCTGATTGGGGAGTCAGGTGGTATGGATGGAGTATTTCCTATTGTCGTAAGAGAGAAAAAATTCTAAGAAGGATTTAATATTAGACCTCAGAACCTCCACCTAGGGGCTTCCCCTTCAGAGAGGTTGTGGCCTAGGATTGGATCTCCCAAGGAGTCCCCTTTTGGGGTCCAGTCTTAAGAGTGTCAGACATCTCTGACCTTAGGTGGGCACCAGTCCTGCTTTGAATGCTTTCCTTTCATAGACAATGCCTAGTATGATTCCCTTCATTCTTGGATACAGTTCTTGGCTTTTGGCATCCCTGTAGCTGGCCACAGTAGTTTCTTCCCAGATGGTTTCCTTAACCATTATAGTAAGTATAGTTTGAAGGGCAAGGGATGGCAGACTGCCTAATTTAAACTTGTTAGAGACTGGCCTCTCAATAAGGGAGTATAGTGCTCTCTGACTGTACCAGATAAACCAGGCGCAGAGATTTCCCCAGGGATCCACTGTGCAATTTATACAGTGATTCAAGAGTCTCCACCAGGATTCTTCCCTTAGTACCAGATCTACTAAACTTAAATGATCTAGATCTGGTCCCTCACAAAAGAAGCAGGGCACTTTCCCTATCCAAGTGGTTGGTCCCTAACCTTTAGGCTAATGTTTGCCCTTGGGGCCTCCATAGTCAGTTACCTATTGCCCTGGCCCTTTGGGTTGGGGTACATCTCTAATTGGTCTAAACATGTTATTCCAACATAAGCAGCAAATAAATATAATATTATAGTCGCAAAAACATGCACCTCATGGCGGCACGGATTTATCTTGTGCCCCTATTTGTTGCATTCCCTGACGGGCTGACTCCACAAGGGAATTTTAGCATAAGAAAAGGAGGGTTAAAGCCACCTGAAATGTGTATGTATTCGACCTGGACAAGCTGCCACTGCCAATTGGTCACATGTGGGGCTCAGGAACTATAACCAGGAGATAGAAAAGAATCCAGCTTCCAGGCCAGACAGCTATCCCCATTCACTCTTTGGCTTTCAGACAGCACTAGAGAGTGGCCTTGGCCAGTTGTCCTCAATTACTGAGGAGCTACTGAGAAATGGCTGCTGAAGGACTAAAAAGAAAAGGACTCAGGTCCCACCTGAAGTAGGCGATGATGGTTAGATGCTTACACACAGAAACCTTTCAGTCTCACCAGACAGTGGCCCCGGCAAGAGACCTTCAGTTGTCTCTGTGCTTAGAATGCTGTCTGCCAAGGGTCCCAAGTTGGAAAAGGGAAAGAAAGAGAAGGGGAGAGACAGAGAGAGTCCCGTATGGAGTTTAGTTCCAGCCCGTGGCCACAAATGGAATCTCAGTAGAATAAAAGAAAATAAATCCCCAAATTTGGGCTTACCTCCTGGCTGGCTTGCCAAAATATATTACTGGGTTAAGGGTTCTGATAATGAGGTGTACAGGTTCTTGGTGTGTTGAACAAAGAATTGAACGACATGCATGAACAGGTGGTGAAGGAATGGATTTATTGGAGCACAAGGCAGTGAAGGAGCAAAAGTGAAAGTACATTACACAGGGTGGGAGTGGGCTTGAGCAAGTGGCTCAAGAGCCCTAGTAGCAAAATCTTCTGGGGATTAAGTACCCTGTAGAGGTTTCTTGATGGTTACACCCTATGTAAATGAAAGACTGGCTCACAGCCAATTAGAGGCTGAGGTGAATTGGTTCACGGCCAATCCAAGACTGCTGTGGTTTGACTCCTTATGCAAATGAATGTCCTGGAATGAACCAATCATTGGCCGGAGTGCAGATTTGGCCCATGGCCAATCAGAGACTGATGTGGTTTAATGCCTTATGCAAATGAAGGTCCTGGAATGGACCAATCATAGGCCAGTGTTCAGATTCTTCCGTGCCAGGGAGTATGTCCAAGTCATCCTTAGATCCCTATCTCTGGACTATATTCTCCTGCCACAGTCTTGTGTGAGATTTTGTGCCCTTTGACCATCATCATCATCTCCCCATTCCCCCAACCTCTCCCTCAACTACTTCTAACCACTATTCATTAACCTCTTGTATTATTTAGGTGTAAGGAAGAACAGAAGGATCCAAGCGTGAGAAAGCCCACCCTGAGTCTCTCAGAGGTGATTATGACTACGTGAGCATGGGTGAGACAAATCCTCTGTTGTTGTTGATGGCTACTTGAAGTGCTTCCTCCATTCTTTCCATTGTAGAATACTTAGGGAGGTAGAGAATATGATGACATGTTATTGATGTTGGGTGATCTCTTTCACTGAAAGTTTCAGGACAGCGAAATACTATTTCCATTTTCTGTATGCCTCTTGCGTGCAGCCTATCACGTCCTGTAAGAAACACTAGAAAGGAATAAAATTTGGTTAAGATATTTCATAGGAAGAATAAAACATAATGAAAAGGAAGAAATTAATCACTTCATTCAGTAAGTATTTATCGAAGGTCCTTAGGCAGAGAGAACTGTCCTTGGCCATATTGAGTGTAGAAAACTCATGACAATTGGTCTTTGTCCTCAATGAGTTCATGGTGTAGTTGGGGGAAAATTGTATGCATGAAAAGATAGTAGCAAGAAGGAAGTTTATTCAGCTCATCTAGGAAGCATGAGGTTAGGAGCTTAAAGGATTCAGCACGGAGACAGACACCAGGCTGGGTGGTCACAGGGACTTCACAGAGGTCACACCAGGCTATTTCTCAAGACAGGATTTGGGTGAGCTTTCAAGGCAGGGGACAAAACTCAGGAAAAAGCCAAAGGTGGGAAGAAGTGAACTCATGAGATGTACAGACAGCTGAACCACTGGGCTGAATCAAAAGTTTCCCATTAAGAGAGAAGATTAGAAAGGCAGCTTGGGCTTATAGAGAAATAGGTTGGATATGTGGACAAGTTGGAATTGTCCTCCAACATCCTTAGTAGCAACAAAAATATCAAGAAGAAAGATGTGTAACTCAGGAAGAGCTGATGAATGGGATGAGATGGTGAGAGAAGTCATTAAGTCTGCCCTAGAGAAACCTTAGGGTTCCCACCAAGAGAAGTTCTTGTACCATGAGGCCACAGAGCTTAGTGCTCAAGAGCCTGAGATTTGGAGTCAGCCTGATGGATTCTATTCTGGTTCCCATACTTACCAGCTGTCTGAACATGGGCAAGCTACTAAATGCTCCAAACCTCGTTTTCCTCATGTCTGAAACGGGAAAAAAGAATAGTACCTACCTCATAGGGTTGCTATTAGGAAAAAGGTAGGTAATAAATACAAAGCAGTCAGCATAGTGCATGGCACAGAATAAGCACACAGTAAATGCTGCTGCTGCTGCTGCTACTATTATCATCAGTTGTTGTTGCTATTATTATGTCTAAATGATATATTACTATGAAACAGATTGTTTGCATCATTCGAACATCATAGGACTTAGATAATTAGATGAAGATAGGAACATGAGATAAAAGGCTTAGGAGCCAGCTGAAGTGAGGAAAGAGGGTGCAGAAAAAGTCAGTGTGGAAAAAGTAGTAAAATAGCAAATCTCTATTTAAAAAAAAAAAAGAAACAGCCTTGAGTAAGAGAAAGAATGCTGGTCTAGAAGGTAGGGAGCCTGGGTTCTCATCCTTGCTCTGCCACTAACACATGTGATCCACCAGCAAGAATGGTGATACAGAGATAGAAAATTATTTTAGGCAGATAGTGAGGGCAAAAGAGTCCTCAGTAGAACTTCCCTTCTAACAAAAAGCAGTCCAAGAAATCACTTCTTTTCTAATAAAGAGCAGCCTGGAATATTGGGCTGCAAACATAGATAAGAAGGCTGGAAGCTAGTATGGGGGAATGCCAGCAGCTCCACCAATAGAAAGGGCAACCTGGGGCCAGGCATGTCCACCATGGGGGTTCCACCTCCCCTCTGTTTTAGCACATGCACAGTAAGAAAGAAATAAGCACCATGGAGTAGCTACCCACCTGTATAATCAAAGATTGGGGTAGGGGCTGCTAGAGATTCGTGACCTATGCGATGGTACACCTGGTCCTAACTCATTTTTTCATGCCCTATGTATGTCCTCCTCACTAGCTCATCTATAAAGAATTCTGCATTTCACCACAGATCAGCAACTCATTTTTCTGGGACCCCTCTCTGTAGCAGAGGGCTATTCTCTTTTTTTGTCTCTTACTAAGTTTCTGCTCTATACCTTACCCTTTGTGTGTGTCCCTGTCCTTGATCTCCATGGCTGTGAGACAAAGAACCTTGGGTGTCACCCCAGACAGTAAGGCCACTTCAATGGCTTCATTCTAAACAAGATTGTATATATAAAAGATATATAATTATGTGTCCATCTATTACCACAGTACTTACAGAGGAATTTTTTCTTTTCATCCAAGGTTAGTTTGCGGAAAGCCTTCCAAAACAACCGTATAGTAGGATGTGATTTTTGGTATCCTTGCTCATACTTTGAATTCTTGAGAGAAAGAGGGAGAAAAATGATTTGAGTGGGGTGGAACACATAGAAGTTGTTCGGAAAAATTGGGGCACTTTAGGTATCACCTACCTGTTCAAATTGTTTCCAGTCATAATCAGTATTTCCAATGATTGCTGTCATTAGTTCCTCGGGGTAGAAATGTCTAAGTATCTCCTTCTCACAGACTCTATAAAATCCTCTCTGAAATTCCTCATAAACTGCTTTTACAGAGACGTTGAAAATGTAATCAATATACTTAGAAACATAGTCTTTCCTTGAGGGAAGAAAAAAAAAAAAGAAAAGGAAGGAAAGGAAGGAAGAGGCCAATGATTAAAAGATTCTATGCTTTATTCTTTTTACTATTTCTATTGAGAAGGAAAAGTCAATTACTTCTACATAGCACAAGAATGTTGTGTTGTGACCAAAACCTGGTCAGCTAGAAGAAAGAAATTTAGAAAATATAATCAGAAAGTTTAAAACTATTTGGCTCACTTTCCTCACTGCAGTCGGTAGGATATTTTTAAAACATGAATCTGAATATGTCATTCTCTTGCTTAAAGTCTATCAAAGGCTTCCCATTACCCTTGGGGTAAATTCCAAACCTCCTTAGCAGGGATCAGCAGGCCTTCCCAACCCCACCTCCTCCCTCAATGATATGACCTTGCCAGTCTCAGCAAGCAGCCTCTTCCTACTTCCATTTTCTTTCTTTCTCTTTCTTTTTTTCTCTTTCTTTCTCCTTCCTTCCTCCCTCCCTCCCTCTCTTCCTTCCTTCTCTCGTTCTCTGTCTTTCCTTCTTTCCTTCTTTCTTTCTCTCTTTCTCTCTTCCTCTCTCTCTCTCTCTCTCTTTCTTAAGAGATGGGGTCTCCCTATGTTGCCCAGGCTGGACTTGGACTCCTGGCCTCAAGCGATCCTCCTG